TTCCCAGGTCTCGGGTCTACTCCCGAGTTTTGGTGAGACCAATTCAAAAATTTAGAGCCGAATTTGGTGTGGTGTCTTTCCTTGACTAAAATAATTCCAGGGTGGGTTTGATGCGATAGGCCCCGGAATAATTCAGCCATGAGCTGTCTACTGAGCAGAGACATACAACAGGAAGCAAACTTGCCATTTTGGGGCACATATCATACACAATCTACAGCTTCAGGTCACACATCTCACAGCTTCAGAGTCCACAAGAAAGATGTGACTGGGGCGCCTATGACCTCCCTCATCTGACAGTTCCCTTCTGCCAGCGCCTGCTGCTTTCCTTCAGGAACCAAATGTGCCCTTCTTGGCCATCAGGAAGATGACTGGAGTCTTCGACTAACTCTCTCATCAGCTGCTCCATCGTCTTGGTGATCTGGCCTGCGTGGGCAAGGAGAATCCATCTTGCTGTCAATCTCAGCGTGGGTAGAGCAACTCTGCTCGATGTGGGATGTTCAACTGATGGCGACCGAGCACAGCTTGCAGGAGTACCCATAGAACCAACTTCTCGCTTCCGTCGCCTGCCCTGGCGCCAAGGACGCGCAGGAGCCAACCACCATCCATGCCCCAACCATCAAGGACACAGCATAGCGCTTGACCCTGCTGTCTTTGCAAGTGGTTTGAACTCCAATGGCAATTCTCTGGTTGGACTGCAGGCGCACCGGCCATCCTTTTGCAAAATTGCTCTCAACCTCACACGAGTCTGGGCCGGCGACCGGCTGATAAGACGGTGCATCAATCAGGCCTCTGGCCCAAAGCATGGTGTTCTCATTGGCCTGGATCTGCATGACGTTTCCACTGTGCATGATAGCCACACTGCCAGATCAAATGCTTCATGGTCACCCTTTCATTGCACAGAACGCATAACACTTGTTCCCCACCACTGTGGATTTGAAGAGCCCTGTGTCCAGGCATCTACTGCAACTTTGTCACTCCTTGTTGCAGTCTTCAGGAACTGGTGATACGTTGTCCAGTCAGGTCGCCGCATGATCGGGGAACAATGCTCCAGCTCTTAGATGCGTCTTGCTCTCTGTAGCTTCTGATGCAGCTGCCTCTGCAAATATGGGCTGAACTGCCGGCAAGATGCCTTGACAATCATCAAGGGCACTGGCATCCCACCCCATGTCCATCAAGTACACTTGCAGGGCAGCCATAGGTCCAGCAACCACCATCCAATAATAAGCCGCATCCAAGTCACCCTCCAAGCGGACATGCGCTCCCTCGCTGAGCTGGTGGCCAGTTTGAAGATCAACAAATGAACAGCTTCGAGTTGTCGTTCTATTGCAGTATCCTTTGGGGTCTTGGAGCTTGGGACATTGATCATACACGATGTCAACATTGCCCCCTTTCTGTGAACCACCGTGTCTGGCCAGCTGGGAGTGTGGAGCCTCTGCGGTGCCACTCCTTGCGCTTCCACACCATGGCACGCAGCCGAATGCACTGAGCTTGAGGTGCAGGAGCTTGGTATGGCGCCCTCTCCTTTTGAGAAGCCGCTTGGCGCCCTCCACTTGAGTCCAGGCCGAGATCCTTCAAAAGGTCCTGAACGGCCTGTGGGCACTCACCATCATCAACCACCCATATGGCATCTCTTTCAACCAGCATGGACGTGTAGTGCCCACTGATCAGCTCCTCTCCTTGATGTGACAATGATGCCTCTCAAGACAAAGGCGCTGTGATTAGCATGCCCTGTGGAAGTCATCTGGGGGGCATCTGAAGGTGGGTGGCGCAATCAATCTGTTATGATGGTTGGTCCAAACCTTGTTGACCAGTGTGTAGCGCCCCACATGGAAGACAATGCGCCGAACGTCTTCACCCAGGCACTGGCCACTTGCTTCATTGGGCAGGATCCCCTTGTTCCAGTGGCATACCGCACTTCCGCCCTCCAAAAATTGAGGGCCAGTTGCCTTGGAGCCCTGTCTGCCACCACATTTCCCATAGCAGGATGAAAAGCTCAGAAGCATCACGCTGACCTTGAGGATTGTCCAATCTCGCTATGACTCTCCGTAACTCGGATGCGCAGAAGATGTCTGCAATCTCATCCTGTTGGAGCAGCTGCATGCACAGTTTGGTTGATGGCCCCCAACCGGCTTTTCATGGTGAGCTCCCATCCAGCACCACATACGCAGGACCGCATTGGCAAAGCACCTGTTGCCCTTGTTGTGGATGCAAAGAGTCAGATTTGCTGCTAGGAGTTCCACAGCCGAGGGGATATCCGGCTACTCTTCAACAGGCCGGCACAATCTCAACTTCCTCTGCAGAGCAAGCCTCATTCTCAAAACATGCTTCAAAGCCTCTAACCCCCAGACTCTAGTCTCAACCTGGCCATTCTCCATATCATCCCTACACTCAGCTGGCAGCGCACGAATGGCCTGCAAGACTGCAAGCCGATCACGAAGATGTCCTGGCGTCAATGGTTGTGTCAACTCTGCATCCTCATCTTCATAGACGCCGTCCATTGGTTCCCCTTCCCGCTTACCTCCACCCAAGAGGCACACGGCTTTGATACCCCATCGGTTGGCATTAGCGTGAGCAACCCCTCCTTTTGCCCCTTTTTCGTGGGGTTGCGCAGGCGGATGTCTCTCAGGGTCCTGCAGTCCAGGCAAGCCTGGCTGCTCTGAGCCCGAACAACGCAGTGCCCCAGAGACATCCTCCTTCTACCCAGTGGTGTCCGCTTCTTGCGCCACCTGCTCCAACTCATTTGTTGGATCCCAATGGTGTGTTGAACTACCTCCCATTGGCTTTGCACTGGCAGTGTCAACAACATCTTCCTCAGCTTGACCTTCACGGCGAGCAGCAGCTATTGGTTCCTCTCCTGGGCCCCTTTGCAGGGTTTGGAGGTTTGCGTAGGCCACTCCTCCCGTGAAGTTGCTCAAACCGCTCTGATGGTCAGGGCTAGCAGGTTCACAGGTCCCGGAGATAGCAGTCTCAGTGAGCTGCTCTTGACAGTGACATAGTATATAGAACTCGGCGCCTGCTCCCCACATCCCCTAGCGCTATGCCCCACTTTCCACATCCAACATGTCTGAAGCTCGGCCGTCTGTCAGGGTTACCCTGAATGCTGGCCTTCTGACTTCTTGTGGCGCTTCAGCAAGCTCTCCGCCAGATGCCACTCTAGTTCTGACTTCTGTGCATCTGTATAGAGGATGCCTACCTGTGCCAAGGCTTTGAGCACATGGTCGTTGGCATCCTGATCAATCTCGGGAGTTCCTTATCTACAGCTTCTTTGGTTTCCTCTTTCAGGAGCTTTGCATAGGCATAGGCTTGTGACTGGGCCGTAAGCTGCTGCTGTTCTTTGTCAATCAACTCCTGCACACTCTTCAGCTCATCCAGCACAAGCTTGTATTGCTCCTTTGCCGTGTCCACCCTCTTCTGCAAGCCAGCCTTCTTGTTGGACAGTTGCCGCAGCAACTCGCGGACCATGCCTTGAGGAGGGTCTCCACTGCTGTCTTCACTTCTCCTGGCAAGGACTGTAGGTGAGCTTTCAACACTGACTCCAGTGACTGCAGCTCTGGCTCTGGGGAGTAGTCGGTCCCTACTGATTGCAGGGACTTGCGCACATCATTGGATTTCCTTTGGGTCGTCTATCACGTCCTCCCAAGCCTAGTGGTGTCTCCAGCCTGCTTGATCTGTCTCTCCAGTACCTTGGATGGATCTTTCCCTGCAACCCACTGCAATCCACAATGGTCACAGCACCATCTGGTGTCATTGACCCTGTCAGCCCAAATCCACGACCCATCACATCCTGCACATACATTGTGCTCTCTTCGAGCTTTCACCTTCCTGAAGCCATCCCACGCCCCTCCAACCATAGTTCAAGGCCACCCTCAGGCAGGAATGGACCAAGGCAAACACAAACGGGTAGGACCAGCGCCGTTCAAGATCACGTGGCAAACCAGCTTGAGCCACCTGACCCTTGAGCCCAAATCTTGAGCCAACTGCATCCTCTCCCCCTTTCTCTCTCTCTCTCTCTCTCTCTCTCTCTCTCGCTCTCTTTGTCTCTCCCTTTCTCTCCCCCTTTCGTTTTCCTCTCCTTGTCTCTGATTAAAAATTGATATCGCGCGCATGATTTTCCGCATGGCTTCGGAAGTAAACGTTCGGGATGCCGGCTATGCGTTATCGACATCGTGGACGCGTGTTCGTCCAGGCTGTCTGCTCGACAGTCCTTCTCAAGGAAACAGACGATTGATATCATGTGCGTGGTAGTTGTGGACAGCTTTTGTTGGGGGGGGGTGTCTCGAGCAGCGCGTCGTTTTTGCGTGCAGCGACTCGGTGCGATCTGGAAACATCGGAGCTGCTCAGAATGATCGGTGGCCTCCTAATACTGCAACACTATCCAGCACTACCCAAATTGGCTAAACTAACCACCCCTCGACGTTTCCTTCGCCGTCTTTTCCTTAATGTGCACTTCTTCTCGCTTGACCCGCTTCCTCCTGGCTCTGCGAGCACAAGTTGCTTTCCTCACCAATAACCAACCCGTATCCTGGTGGGATTCTAGCTGCTCTGAGCCCCTCTCCTAGTGGCACCCCTGCTACTGCTACATTTACCCATGTCCCGGCTGCGAGAGCACAGGTTTCCTTGCCGGCGGCTTCGACTGCGAAGCGGTGTGAATATACGTTTTTTCATTTACACTAATATTTATACTAGATGTCGCGTGTTCTGATATAGCTTCCAATTATCTGGGGGCATGAAACTCTGGTGCAAGTCAAAAACCGCTCGCGCAAACCAAGGCTTACCGTCCCGGAAAAGCACCACAGCATTGGTCTCTAGGAGGTGTTCAGGAATGAGCTGGGACTACTCCAATCTCCGTGGTCAGTACTGATAAATTCCACCGTCAGTGTAGCCCAATCTCGGACATGCAGCAGGGTTCCAAAATTCCGCCTGCTCCTTGCTTTCTGCCCCTGTGGGGAAACAGACAGCTTAAAAGGCAGGAGCGTGACTAGAACTGTTAGCCGGGTAACATCTGCGAGGGACAAAATAACACAAAGCTGAGGTCCAATTGCCGCTGCTTCTGCTGCTGCAGCTTCCAAGCTGTCATCTGGAAGCACTTCAGAGAGGGCTTGATCCTCAAGAATTGGCAAGTTCCAACTTTATAGAGGTGTGTAGGCCTCAGAACCTTCAAAGCGTCCTTCTGCTCTGGCTTCTGCAACTAGGAACGCGCTCTGGCAGTCTGAGGTCTGTACAGCTGAATCGCTCAAGCGCCTTCCAGCCAAAACCATATGGGGAAAGGCAAAGCCGATCGCCACAATTGCCAGGCAGGACTCGCAAACGGTAATGCCTCAGCATGACCAGGAGATCGTGAGCATATTTTTTGAGTGTTGATGGCATAGTTGATCGGCAGAATGCGTGGCTTCCTTACCTATCTGAAGGTTGTTTCAATGGTTTTTGCTTTCTTCCCAAGATGCCTTTCTTCAGCAGGCGGCTGATCAAATACTAGAAAATGGAAAGACCAACTCTCATTCTTTCCCAGCGCGGAACAGCTTGTAAATTATCATGAAAGAATGGTGGAGGCCGGCTCGTCAAAGGTGACAAGTTGGAGCAGTCATTGCCGCCGAGCAGCCACCTTTCATTGTAGCCATTGTCGCGCAAAGCAAGATGATGCTGACAAACAATCCCACACAGCTCACTGAATGCGCGTGCCCCAAAGCACTGTGAAGGAAAGGAGACCGGATGAAACGCAAAATCCTCAGCCAACGCTGCTATGCCCGACCAAAGCCCTGAACATCAAACGAAGTCCATGGTCTTAAGTCTTGCAAGCAAGGAGCGGCCCCCACTTGAGATCCTCGGTTCCTGGCATGCTGAGGGCCGTTTGTCATTCACTGTTTGACCATGGGTCGCCATCTACTTGAATCAGAAAACTGGTGCCAGTGTCCTAGAGGCAATCCATCCGCATCCTCGTCAAGCATCCGCACGGCGGCCGTTGTGAATCCGGCAATGAGCCAAACCCACAAGGAGCTGACGGCGAGTGTCTCTGTGAGTGCTACTGCCTGTGGCAATTGCTCGCTGCTGCCTTGGTGGTACCCACTGAAACCTCAGGTGGCAGCAAGGAGTTGCGGTGCTGCGGAAGAATCCAACTCTGACCTCACATGACTTCCACAGCAGCTTGGTTCGTGGCTCCTATGTTCTGGCGCCAGTGTGTTCTAGACTTTTTTGGTGTGTTCGGTAGTTTTAGCAGGAAGAGCTGGTGACCACAAGCAACCATGAGATGGATTTGCTTAAGCAGGCCTCACGTTCCATCTTTCGCCACAATCACGCACAATAGAGGGCCCTGCTTTCAGATCTAAGTGCTCTACTCAATCTAAACTGGAACAAGCAGGCTCACAGACCTTTATATTATATAATTCGTTTGATGATTATATGTGTCCCTTGGAATGTGACATGTGCTTGGAAGCACCTGTCTGGACATGTTTAAGAGACCTTCTTCAGGCGTTGGAATTACGTGGTATGAGCTTGCCATTAATTTCATGCTATATACCGGTAGGCCTCTGCCAAATGTACCCAAGATACAAGAAGTCCAGCGCATCTTCCATCATTCTTCTTGGATTCCATAGAAGTTAGGCGGTATTTACAGCAGACCGTTACTTCCACAGACTGGAGAGATTGTTAAATTCCTAGCCGACTTCTCTTCTTTGCAAAACCAAGCGTATCCTTTGAGCGTGCGTGCACCTGTAGATCCACTCTATGATAAGGCACAACTCCTTGATGAATTCCCTGGTAATATTCCTTGTTCTTTGTGACCAAGCCTGAAACCAAGAAGTGTGACCTTGCAAACCTTTCGTTCAAAAATTCGTAAACTCCTTATATAATTCAATCTATTCGTACCTCATGATGAGTTCAAACCGGGGTTCCTCTCTGTGTGGTTGCACGTGTTGCTCACTGTGGCGTAATACCAACCCTCAAGTGCCCACTGTCAGTGGAAGGGCTGGGCGGGGCGAGGCGTTGATCGCAAGCTGGCTGTGGACACAAGCATGCCTTTTGTCACATTGTAACCCAATACAACTCAACACAACAATGACGTCCTCATCCAAATCAAAAGCAATGGCAGCAATGACGTTTTCGTAACCTAGCTCTTGTCCAACACTCTTGTGGGACACTCTTGTAGGGCGCGTGGCATGCGGCACACTCTTGCAGGGCACTCTCTTGTGGGGCACTCTTGCAGGATTGCTAAACACTCTTGTAGGGCGCTCTCTTGTGGGACACTCTTGTAGGACACTTGTGTGGACACTTTTGTGGAGCACTCTTGTGGCACAGTCTTGTAGGGCACTCTTGTGGGGCACTCTGGCGGGACACTCTTGTGGCAAACGATGACATTGTGAGGGCCCATTTGAGCGAGGGCCAACGAACTTCGACGACAATGACAACCAAGTCCTGGCGCTACCACATGACAAGGTGAACATGCTGCCTGACATTCGCCAGGATCACGCACAAAAATGTCAACTGAGCCTGAAACGCATTGCCCGCGTGTGCACGGCAACAAATAGTGAATATACCACCGCCCAGCAGTGCACAGCCCCAGCGGCCACCAAGACTAAAGAGCTATTCAAAAAAGCTCTTCTGGACCGCTCCACAAATTGAATCCAGCCAAGCCAACCCCGGACTGCCAAATATACCAAGGGCTGCATAGATACCCTCAGAATTCACGAGCTCAAAGAACACCATTTCATGTCATGAACCAATGATTTTTTGCAAAAATGATTGTTGCTTTGCTATGAAAAGCCTCGGCGCTGGCAGCTTTGGACAGAGACTATGGCTCCCTCAATTTGGGCCAAAAAAGCTGCTGAACGTGGCAAACGCATGTTCTAGCACAGCGCAGTCCATCTTGCACCAGATGCATCATGCGCTTCCTCTCTCTTTCTTTCTCTCTCTCTCTCTCTCTCACTCTCTCTCTCTCTCTCTCTCTGTGTTCTCTGCTTTGTGTCTCTTTTTTTTTGCTCGGTTCTTTCACTCTGCTTCAACGACTCCCGCACCACCAAGGGAAAAGCGGGTCCCGCCAAGGCTCGTTCTCCTTGTAGCGGGGAGGCTTCACAGGAACCTAACTGCTGGAACTCGGTGCAAAGGCCAGCGTAGTCTGACGTGCCTTTCCAAGGCACTCTTGTGCCATCCAAGATTGCAGTTTGCCGTCAATCATCTTGGAGACTTTGAAGCACTTCTGACACTCAAGCCACTGACCCCTCTGCATCAGCTGGTGCTGGGGGTGGACTCTCATGCGCAGATGGAGGTCCTGCTCTGTCACTGCTGCAAAGTGGCAGGGTTCATTTGCCAGCTTGTGGAGCGTCTCCTTACCACATCTCCGTGCAACCTTGATCCAACATCGGCTGCATCCAAAGGAACTGGCTCGGAGATACCAAGTCTTGTTGCAGGGGCGAAACAGAGATCATGTCCTCCATGAGACTCGTCAAAGTCTTGACCTTCTCGCCTGGGCATACCGTGGCTGCCTTGGCCTCAATCTCTGCATGCGTCGAGCAGCTCTTGATGTGGAGGCTGCACAGCAGGCACATCAGTCCTTGGCCCTTCAACTGCCATTGCTGCTCACCAGGGCCATGGGCTTTTTGGCTCAACCTGCGAAGCACATCCAAGCGCCCCCGCGGCCTCTCTTGCTGCACTTTGTAGGGTGCAACTACTGGTTCCACTTGTCCATTCAGGATCAGTGAGGAGGGTGCCAACACGCTGCGCTGCTGCCTCATACACCTCCTGGTACCACTTGTCCTCATCATTGAGCTGGAGCTCAAGCTCTTGTTCACCCTCAGGGAGACTGTGCCACATCTCAGGTGCACAGGTGCCACCACTGCCTTTGTTGATGGCCGTCCAACCACCTCTGTGGGCAATGTTGATCTGGTGGCGCCCCAAAGTGGCCTGCAGGATGAGCCAGCGTCCAAAGAACCAGGCACGGGCTTCAGTGGCCTCCCCAGGTGCCAGCCCAGTGCACGCTCCAATGAGTTGCCATGACCCATCTTGCCAGCAGCCAGCCGTGATGGCCACTGCATAGCGCTTGAGGCGGGCATCCTTGCAGGTAGGCCGTACGCCAATGGCAAGGCGTTGATGAGGGGCCAGTCGGATTGGCCATCCATGGGCAAACACCCCATGCAGCTCCAAGGATTCCATCCCAACCACTGGTCAATCAGAAAGCATGGCATGCTCATTTGCCCTGATGTCACGTTGCCACTCTGCAGGGAGGTCTTGCACATGATACGAGCATTCCCAGATGAGATGCTTCAGGGTGACTGGAACATTGCATAGAGGACACACACGACGTTCCCCCCCCCGTGAGTCCTCAAGGATCCTTGTGTCCAGGCATCCACTGCTGTTCTCGCAGGCCCTTTCAGGCGACGCATCACTTTGTGATATACTGTCCAGTCCGGTCTTCTCATCAGCGGAAAGCAGTGCTCAAGTTCTTGGATCCTCCGTGCACGCTGATGCTTCTGCTCAAGTGCAGTTGGCGCTGAAGGTGAGGCCATGGATGCTCCAAATTCAACTGGTGCGGCGGCATGAGGCCAGTCGGAGCCCGGATCCAGTCATCCATGTCCACTGCCTCCCAGCCCATATCCATCAAATAGGCCTGCAAAGCTGCCATTGGGCCTGCCACCACCATCCATGGGTAAGCCGCCGTAGCCAGCCGTTTCCAGGAAATGCGCCAGGCAGATTTCAACTCCCCAAGCTGGGCAGGTGGCCAAGCTTTAAGCAGCTGGCGCATGGCCTTCATTTGTCGCTCCACAATGGTGTCCTTCAGATCCTGGAGTTTGACGTGCTGGTCATACACAATGTCCACACCACCTCCTTTTTGCAACCCCCCATGCCTTGCCAGTTGCTGACGGAGGACACGCATTCTCTGAGGCGCCAGGCCCTGAGCTTCCATGCCATAGCCCGCAGCGGCATGAACAGAGGTTTTCCAGACGCGGATCCTCACTGGTCTGGACCGCAACTTCAAGTACATGAGCTTTGAGCGTCGTCCTTTGCCTTTCAGGAGGCGCTTCTGCTGGGTTCCAATCCTCCGACGTCGACCTCCGTTTGAATCCAAGCCAAGATCCTTCAGGAGGTCGTGGACTTTTGGCTGCTCGTCCCCACGAAGAAGATTAAGTGTCTTCTTGCATTCATTGGACGACGTGAGGAATCCCGTCTTCTCCTTGGACAGTTGCAGGCTAATACCTTCCAGCTCTTGCCGCAAAAGCTCATAGCCTTTCAAGGCTTCCCTGCTCAGCAGCTGAACATCAGTCCCGACAAAGTCGACAGAGATGTCGTCGACCCACACGTCAACCGTAGCTTTGGGGAAGGCTGCATTGAAGCGCTCGATGACCGGGGCAAGGACTAGTTTGGCAATGAGGGGAGCCACAGGGCATCCAGCCAGGATTCCTCGCTCACAGTGAACTGGTCGAGACGTCACCTGTTCGGCCTGTAGCATCCTTGGGCCCGAGTACACTTCATAGACTGCATTCAGTATGGCCGGCGGGAAGTCCAGCGGTTCCCATAGCCCAAGCAGCAGCTCCAAGGTCACAGAGTCGTAGAAGCACTGGAGGTCCACCAGCAGAGACACAACACTGCGTCCAATGGCTTTGCCGACCTCACATTTGAGCATGCGCATGAGGGCGACATGCATAACCTGCATGCCCGGCATGCTTCTCTCCCATGGCATTCTCGGCCCAACATCAGTCTGCCACTCACGGAGCTTTTGCCATCGAAGCTTGCACCAAGTGCGATAAAGAACACTGGTCAAGCTGATTGGCCGCTCTATGTCCTCCTTCTTTGGCAGCAGCACCACCAGTGTCGTACAGACTTGGTCAGGCAGGCGTCCATTGAGCTCCCACTGTCTGTACATGTTGCACAGATCAGTGACCCCTTCAAGCGGCAAGTTCTTGAGCATGGCGTAGCTGATGCCATCAGGACCACTTGCCTTTTGTGGGAGCTTTGCCAGTTTCTTCATCACTTGATGAGGGTCAAGGTCCTCCCGAGTCCTGGCCTGCACAATGCCTTCCCATCTCAGCCTTTCCCTCTCTGCACTTGATCTGGGCTGCTCAATGACTGTCCACCGGTCATACCACTGTTGTTCCCTCAGCTGCTGTCTGTCCTGGACCGGGACATTCCGGAAAGGCCGCGCATGGACCACATCTGGAGCCTTGAGACACTTATAGATGCCACTGTGTCCACGCAGAGAAGCTTCAGAGAGCCAGGCCTGATAATCCTGAGATTTCTGCCGCTGCAGCACTGCCTTTTTTGCAAAGTCATAGTTGGCCTCCGCTCCACGCACAAGCACCGGCAAGGGCATGGGCTCACCCGAAACCAAGGCTTCCAGCGCTGCACAGAACTCACCATCTCCATGGATGTTTTGCCACCTCATTGGTAGATCTGCTGCTTTTGCTTTTAAGTGCACCATAGCTGCCGTGCTGACCATTCCTTTGCTCTCGATGTGGGACAGCAAGGAGCAAAATTGGCCCCAGTATGCCAAATCACCTCTTCGCCAGGGTGTCATAGGTCTGGTTTGCGGCAGAGGCTTTAGCTCAATGGCAAGGTACCATCCCCTTCCCATCTTCGGGTCATGCAGGTTCTGCAAGGTGTACTGCTCAGCACGATGACACCACTCTGCACATTGTATCTCTTTTGGCCCCATTTGACGACCCAGCCAATAGGGTTTCAGGGACGGCTTACATTCCTCCCATTGCTTGGGGCTGCTTTGCAGTTTTGGGACGGCTGCATACTGAGTGACTTGAGGCAGGCGCAGGCTGGGTGCTGAACTGTCGATTGTCACCACCAGACCCGCATGCGGCTTCCACGGGACGTCCCAGTTGATCTTGATGTCAATGAACGGTGACAGGGTTCGACTTGCAATCAAGTAGTCAAGTTCTGCCCCATTGATCATCGTCGGCTGCCCGCCTTTGACAACCTCTGCCTTGAGCACATTCAACAATTGATGCCCAGCCCATTGCTCAGGAGGAACCTGAAAATCTCCAACCAGCATCCATGGTACTGCAAGTTCACCAAGGAAGGCCGCTAATTCACCCAGGATGATGGCATTGGTCACCGAATTCAGGTCCTCTCCCGTACGGAGGTAGACTGACACCAGCACCACTTCCCATTTCTGACGTTGCAGGACATTTGCCAGGAAGCCATTCCCTTCTTTGTCATAATGGTGGATGCGGTACGTCGACTGGCCCTCCCGACTGCAGAAGAACTGACCACCACTGGTTCCACCTCGGCCTGTCTCAAAGGCATCGACCTTTTCCAGTTGCCATCGGCTTCTTGCCAATTGTTGTGCTGCAAGGGCTGCTTTATGTCCAGTCACATGTGTCTCAACCAGCATAGCAATCTGCATGTCCTGCTGGAGCAGCCAATCCTTGACGTCATTGTTCCAATGGGTGACATTGCCATAGAAGACCTCAATGGCGCCCGCATCAGTTTTCACCCTTTTGGCCGGTGGATCGAACCTGCCCACTGTTTGAGTCCAGAAACTGCTCTGCTCAGCACGCGAGGCCCAGATCATGACTGCCCCTCTCTTGATGCTATCCGGTACCTCCTTTTGAACCTGGGGGCACTCTCCATCATCCACCAGCCACACCGCCTCTCCTTCAACTAACAAGGCGTTGTAGTGACCAGAAATCAGCTCTTCTCCATGGTGGGCTATGATACCCCGCAGCACAAAGGTGGAGTGACCCACGTGGTCTGTGGCGGTCTTTTGCGGGCACCTGAAGCTTGAAGGGGTGTGCAAACGATTGTGATGTTTGACCCACTCCTTTGCTGTAGTGGAGAGTGAGTACCTGCCAATGTGGAACACTATGTGGTCAACATCAGGT